CACACACACACACACACACACACACACACACACACACACACACACACAATAACAGGGTATCAGAGGCGAAAGGCACAGAGAGCCAGCAAGGGCAGGAAAGCCGGGCCAAGGGTAAAAGAAAAATTCCCCTCTGCCTTTCCTCCTTTTTTCCTTTTTTCATTTTTCTTTTTTTCCTTTTTCCCCCCCCTTTTTTTCTTTTGTTCGTTTTTGTGTGAATGGTTTTGATTTTCAGAACCACATGTTGCGAAGTGAACTGGGAACAACCTTGCAGAAACGACACCTTGCGGACTGTATCCGTGGCACCAAGCAAGGTTATGGGTCGCTCCACTTAATAATAAGAAAAAAGGAGGGATGATCCTATTACAAAGGAAACGTTGCGCATAGCTCATGTGCACGAGTGGAAATAACACCTGCATCGGGGGACCCCCGCAAGTTGCGTAATTGGTTCCTTTTTTCTTTTTTTCCTTTTTTTCTTTTTCTTTTTTGGCGTTTTGTCAGCTCCTCCTACCTTTTTAGAAGCAGCAGGACAGAATATGCAGTACGGGGAGAACTGGGAGAGGGCGCTTGTACTCTAGGACGCGACTATTCTTTCCGTCTCTTGGAAGCAACTGGAACTTTCTTTCCGTTGTTTTTCTTTCCTTTTTTTCTTTTTTTCTTTTTTTCTTTTTTTCTTTTTTTCTTTTTTTCTTTTTTTCTTTTTTTTTTCTTTTTCTTTTTCTTTTTTTCTGTTTCGCTCCAATTGATGCGGACCCGAAATAGTTGGCGCCAACCTAGGAAGCATTGATATCGACGATCAGCTACAGACTATTTAGCATCAGGTTCCCCCTGTTAGCTCCCATCTCAATTTCAGTGCGCATGCACCTTGCTCGGCCAAGAGGCACGTACGGCCTGGCAGGGGGCAACGACGGCTTCACGGCACGCTCGGGTGGAACGGTGACGGTGACAGGACCTCCGGAGTTTTTTTCGGCGGGGCACTGCGGCAAGCGACATGGACTACGAGGTTGATCTGGCCATGGTTGACCAGTTGATCGGCAACATCGATGAGGCGGTATTGGCTCTCGAACTGACGTTTTTCCAGCACAGCTCTCCTTCTTTCGCTCGCCTCTTTTTCTCTGCGCGCGGTTCGCATGCTCCTATAAATGCCCGCCATCCCGGGGAGGAATGACTGCTACCCTCCTCCTCCTTCTCCTTCTCCCCCTGCGATCTCCCGCACAAGCAAAATACTATCACTCCTCTCATATGACTATACAGTAAGGAATCACGGCGGGATCACAACCGTGATTTCAGCTCTCGCTTTGCTCATCACGCTTCTTGTCTCCCTCGCTATACAAACATTGCTGCCCCCCCTCGCAGCCGCTCCTAAAACGGATTAGCACGCTTCTTGCTGCCCTTGCTCCCCTATGTTTCCCTTCATGCAATACAAACGCTGCTGC